CACACCATCCCATGGAGCGAACCCAATTGGAAACTAGATGACACGGGAGCCCAGTGCTCCAGGCTCCAGAGCCCTGCATCCCGGGACCCAGAGCAGACAGAGAGCAGTCAAGGCTGGGAGGGGAGCGGGGAGGAGGGGCAAACCGAAGGCACACTCAGTGCAGATGCTTGGAGAGTCTACCACCCAACCAGAAAGTGCAAATTTAGTGCAGAAATTGGGGAGTCATTACATGCACAGCTACATGATTTTTTTTTGTTTTATAAATATTTTCAACTAGTTCCCTTTAAACAACAAACGTCCCCCTGCAACTAAAATATGATTTCATTTATAGGAAATTCTGCTCACTCAGAGCTGTTCCAGACCCCAAACATTCAGGTAGATAAAGATATGGAGCAAGCTTGGGTTGGCTTTGAGTCAATTGCATTTCCCACAGATATCCGCTCCAGTGACCTCCTTGATGACATCCAAGTCAGGGAGAGGACAGGTGGTTCCCCAAAAGGAAACTGGAGGGCTGTTGGAGGGGGAAGGAGGCACTCGAAGGCCACGGAATGCCAGCCAGCCATTCAACAAAGACACAAATTAACTCACAAAGGTCACACCATCTGTAAGCAGCCGAGCTTAGGTGGAAATGCCAGCCAGTCCCCAAAGGCTTTGACAAATGTTCCACAGGGCCTTCTATATGGAACTACGATTTGTAAGCTTTGGATCAGCAGGGTCCTTCTTTCCCAGAGCAGTTCTTCGTGGGCACTTCCATCAGGAACACCCAGGTCTACCCATGTGTGCCTTCTGTCTTGGGGAACCTGGTAGTTGGCAAGCATCTTCCAAGGGAAGTCCTTCTTAGGGGACTTTTCTGTGCTTTTTGCATCCTGGCTGTAAGACATGGTGGCACAGTAGTACTTCACTGATAATAATTCCAGGTATGGAGCCGGGCGCGGGGCTTACACCTGTAATCCCAGCACTTTGGGAGGCTGAGGCAGGCAGATCACCTGAGGTCAGGAGTTTGAGACTAGCCTGACCAACATGGAGAAACCTCCATCTCTACTAAAAATACAAAATTAGCCAGGTATGTTGGCACATCCCTGTAATTCTAGCTGCTCTGGAGACTGAGGCAGGAGAATCACTTGAACCCGGGAGGCAGAGGTTGCAGTGAGCTGAGATCACGCCATTGCACTCCAGCCAGGAGAACAAGAGAGAAACTTCGTCTCAAAAATAAATAAATAAATAAATAAATAATAATTCCGGTATGACACCAAGAAGGCCAGCCCCAGGGCCCAGTGGTGGGGGGGTGGGATTGTGCTCAACTGCAAGGCCCAAGCCCACCCCCCAGTCCCCTACCAGCAGACAAATGGCTAGACCCACACACAGTGCTCTCTGCTTCTGGGACAGGATGTCAACCAGCGCTCTGCTGGACACAAGATTTCAGAGACAAACATCAGGGAAACAGACAGAGGCCCACATGACTGTTTCAAACAAACCATGCTCAAACCCTCAGAAAAAGGATAAACTCGGAAAACGGACCAGGAAAGCACCACCTTGGCCTGAGCAAGAACAAACTGGATGAAGACAGAAGCCACTGTGTTTTTAAGAAACTGTTTTTAATTTTATTTACGTATTTATTTTGAGATAGAGTCTTGCTCTGTTGTCCAGGCAGGAGTGCAGGGGTGTGATCTCAGCTCACTGCAACCTCTGCCTCCTGGGTTCAAATGATTCTCCTGCCTCAGCCTCCCGAGTAGCTGGAATTATAGGCACATGCCACCACATCCAGCTAATTTTTCTATTTTTATTAGAGATGTGTTTCACCATGTTGGCCAGGGTGATCTTGAACTTCTGGCTGCAAGTGATCTGCCTACCTTGGCCTCCCAAAGTGCTGGGATTATAGGCGTAAGCCACCGTGCCCAGCCAGAAGGTCAGTTTTAATAACTGACCTTTTCAGACAAATCCCAGCAACCTTTCTCTCTTAGCACCATCTCTGAGACCACGGTGGGTAGGATGTGTCCCTAGCCTCTCCATAACGCCACCTGCGCCCTCTTGAAATGAATGGTTATTGTCTCCAGAGTGGCTGTGGACTTGTGGGTTCCTTATGTCATATTTCCTCAATGGAAGCCACTGTCTCCTGCCGGAGGTTCCACGGCTCCTGTCTTCATAATGCATGACCCTGACGCTATACTCTTGCTCTGTGGAGACTGTAACACGATCCTGGCAGGGCTCAAAGGAGGCCTTTCTTCCCTCCCAGCACATGAGGCTCTCCATCCTGGAACTGGGGCTCGAAAGTGGCCAATCTGAGTTGGGGCAGATTTCATCACACCCTCCAGCTCTGGTCTGCCCTGATTTTCTTTTGGCCACAGCACCTCCCCTCCCACTGTTCCTGTAGCAGCCAAACTTCCAGATGCACCCCACCTCCTGGCAAGCCGTCTCACATTAAATAAGGCTGACCTCTGTTGTCCTTTGTGGAAATGACAGACTATGACCAGGTCATAATAGACACTGTGGCTTCCATCTTGCTCTCTCTTGAATCACTCGCTATGGGGAGAGTCTGCTGCCATGTTGTGAGGATGCTCAAGTAGCCTTGTGCAGGGGTCTAGAAGGTGAAAAACTAAGGCCTCCTGCCGACAGCCACATGAACTCATCCTCCATGGTGGGAGCCATCTCCAGCCTCAGTTGCGCCTTCAGGTGACTGCAAACCCAGCTGCATCTTGATGCCAACCTCATGAACCAGAAGCCACTCTTGGATTCCCAATCCACAGAAACTGTGAGACATTAAGTGATGACTGTTGCTTTAGGCCACTGTGTTTTGTTCCACCGGATTATTTGTTCCATAGCATTAGCTAGCTACTATTCTGGGCAATAATGTCCAGAGAGGTCAGCCTCCTGGGGTCAAAGTAGAGGAGGTCAGAGAATGACATGGAGGGGCAGACAGTGACAGAGTCAGCACACTTGGTTTCCTGATCCGGTATTGTCCTGCTACACATTTTCAAAAGGGGTCGGGTATGAAAAATGAAGCAAAGTAGTTCAGTATGCTCTAACCAGCCATGATATCACCCCAGGGCCATCTGCTTCTATGAACTGGACACTATCATCCCACACAGTGCCCCAAATTAGGTTCCCTTTACAAAAACTGTACCACGCTGGTGACTACTGAAACCCTGAGTTCCTTTCACACACACTGCCCAGAACTCCCAGACCTCCTCAACTGGTTCTATGCTTGGGCACCAGATTTCTCTTTAGAACTTAACTTTCTCTGTTATCAACTGATCTTGGCTTTACTCTGAAGTTCCAAACTATCAAAATCACTTTCATCTCCGTTTGGCTCCACTTCCACGGTTCCCCCCAACGTGTGTTACCTGCACATTCGATGCTGTACTTTCTTACCATCTCCATCTAGAAGGTGGGCTGAACGTTGATTGGCTGGGGCAGAGCCCCCGGCAGAGCCCTTTGGTCCTCCTCTGTAGACTCCATGACTGCCAGGGCAACAGACTCCTTGATGGCAGACACCCTGCAGATAGTTGTGCAACCTGCCATAAATCCCCCCCAAAAAACACCATCGTTACCAGACAGTTTGCCAATCCTTTATTAAAATGCTATCGGGGGGTGGTGGCTTATGCGTGTAGTCCCAGCTACTCAAGGGGCTGAGACTGAAGGATCACTGGGGCATGGGTGTTTGAGATCAGTATAAGCAACATAGCAAGAACCTGTCTCAGAAAAAAATAAAATAAAATAAAACAAACAAAAAAAAACAGCAACAAAAAATGCTGGCCGGACACAAATGTATTTACCCTAGTCTCCAGTACTGTCTAAAAAGAAGTTGGTTTGTGTATTCATTTCCTGTGGCTGCTATAATTACCATGAACTTTTTGTCTCAAACAACAGAAATTAGGCCGGGCACGATGGCTCATGCCTGTAATATAAGCATTTTGGGAGGCCAAGGCAGGCAGATCAACTGAGGTCGGGAGTTCGAGACCAGCCTGACCAACATAGGGAAACGACGTCCCTACTAAAAATACAAAATTAGCTGGGTGTGGTGGCGCATGCCTGTAATCCCAGCTACTAAGGATGCTAAGGCAGAAGACTCACTTGAACCTGGGAGGCGGAGGTTGCAGTAAGCCAAGACTGAGCCATTGCACCCCAGCCTGGGCAACACGAGCAAAAGCTCATCTCAAAAAAAGAAAAAACACAGATATTTATTCTCTCGCAGTCGTGGAGACCCGAAGTCTGAAATCAGTGCCACCAAACAGAAATCAATCCATCAGCGGGGCTGTGGAGGCTTTAGGGGAGAAACTGTTTCTTTCCTTTTCCAGCTTCTGGGAACAACGGCATTCCTTGGCTTATGTCCATGTCACTCTAATTCTCACATCCGGTATCTTCAAATCCTTCTCTGCTTTGTCTTCACATGGCTTTCTTCTCTGTGTGTGAGTCAAGTCTACCTCTGTCTTAAGTGGACACTTGTGATGGCATTTAGGGCCCCCAGGACAGTCCAGGATAATCTCTTATCACAAGATTCTTATTCACTTCTGCAAAGACCCATCTTTCTTACAGAGTAACATTTATAGGCTCCAAGGATTAGGACCTGATGGCTCCAGGGGGCCATTATGCCACCCACCACAGCTGGGCACAGCTCCTCCCCACCAAGCTGTCCCACCTCACCATCACTGCATTTTTTTTCCCTGCTGTTCACAAATGAGTTATGTCATGCTCTGCTCTATAATTTTCCAAAAGTCAACATCAAGGTTACTGTCTCTACATTTTGGAATCTGCTTGCGACCTGTAATTCACCAGACCACATCAGTCTGGACATTAAAAAGAGGTCGTAATAAACAAAAACAGCATTTCTTAGGTTTGCCATTATTGCTAGCTCTCCAGCCCCTTAGAAATGTCAAGAATTCTCAGAATGTGTCTCTTAAGTGGAGGTGGTATAGAGGTTGCAATTAGTTGCTCAAGTCAGACTGCCCGGGTCTGAATACTGGCCTTGTCACCATGGCCAACTGTTTTCCAAAGATGGCCACAAAAATCTCTCCCTTTCCACATGCTCTTCTGCAGCATGTCCTTGCCCTGCCCCCACCAGGGGGTCCATTTCTTCACCCCACTCTAAAATGCATATGGCAGAAGTGATACTGCCATTTAAAGGCAGGGTCCTTAACAGTTTCCTGTTCCTATCTCTTGGAATGTTTGTTCTTGAGACTCTACTCTCAGAACTCAGCCACCATATTGTAAGGAAGCCCTCATTACATGAAGAGACCCCTTACAGAAGCTCTGGCTGACTGCCCCAGTTGAGCTTCCTGCCATCAATGGCCAGTGTGCAAGTGAGCCATTGCAGGCCTCCAGTCCAGTCAAGCCTTCAGACCCTCCAGCCCCAACCAACACCTGACTGTACCCATGGCAGACCCCAAGTGAAAGCCCCCTAGCTGAATCCCATCAATCCGCAAAAGCAGAAGTAATTGCAAAGTGTTGTTTTAAGCCACTGGATTTGGGGGCAGTTCATTTTACAGCAATAGATGTTCAGAAGAGCCACTTATTGACTGAGTAACCTGAAGCAAGTGACAGGCTTAAGCTTAGGTTCCTGCCAGATGCACATACTGAGACCAAGACTTGGTGCATATAGTTTATTTGGGTTGTGATTCCAGGAAACACAGGTGGGGAATTCATTAAAAATAAAACTACTATATGATCCAGCAACCCCATTTCTAGGTATATATCTAAAATAATTAAAAATAGGATGCTGAAGAGATGTTTCCATACCTATGTACATTGCAGCATTATTCACAATAGTCATGAGGTGGAAGCAAACTAAATATCCATCATCAGGCCAGGTGTGGTGGCTCACACCTGTAATCCCAGCACTTTGGGAGGCCAAGGCTGGAGGACCGCTCTAGCTCAGGAATTGGAGACCAGCCTGGGCAATACAGTGAGACCCCTATCTCTATTTTAAAAATAATAATAATTAAATGTTTAAAAAAATAAATATCCAGCAACAAAAACTATTAGAATTGATAAATTCAGTAAAGTTTCAGGATACAAAATCAACATACGAAAATTAGTAGCATTTCTGTATGCCACAGCAAACAATCTGAAAAACAAATCCAGAAAGTAATTCCACTTACAATAGTTACCAATGAAATAAAATACCTAGGAATTAGCCAAAGAAGTAAAAGATCTCTACGATTAAAAACTACAAAATCTTAATGAAAGTAATTAAAGAAGATACCAAAAAATAAAAAGATATTCCATGTTCATCGATTGACATAAGCAATATTGTTAAAATGTTCATACTACCCCAAGCAATCTACAGATTCAATACAGTCCCTATCAAAATACCAATGATATTCTTCACAGAAATAGAAAAAAAATCCTAAAATATATATGGAACCACAAAGACCCAGGGTAGCCAAAGATCTCCTGAGCAAAAAGAACAAAACTGGAGGAATCACATTACCTGACTTCCAGTTATATTACAGAGCTATAGTAACCAAAACAGCATAGCACTGGCATAAAGACTGACACATAGACCAATGGAAAACAATAGAGAAGCCAGGGAAAAAAACGTACATCTACAGTGAAATCATTTCTTACAAAGGTGCTAAGAACATACATTGAGGAAAAAACAGTCTCTTCAATAAACAGTGCTGGGAAAAGTAGACACCCATATGCAGAAGAATGAAACTAGACCCCTATCTCTTGCCATACGCAACAATCAAATCAAAGCATGTTAAAGACTTAAATCTCAGACCTGAAACTATGACACTATTCCAAGAAAACATTGGGAAAAAAATTCTCCAGGACATTGGACTGGGCAAAGATTTCTTGAGTAATACCCCACAAGCACAGACAACCACAGCAAACATGAACAAATCACATCAAGTTAAAAAGCTTCTGCACAGCAAAGGAAAGAATCAAAAAAGTAAAGAAACAACCCACAGAATGGGAGAAAATATCTGCAAACTACCCATCTGACAAGGAATTAACAGCCAGAACATACAAGGAGCTCAAACCAGTCTTTAGAAAAAAATCTAACAATCCAACCAAAAATGGGCAAAAGATCTGAAGACACTTCTCAAAAGGAAACATACAGATGGCAAACAGGCATATGGAAAGGTGCTCAACATCACAGACCATCAGAGAGATGCAAATCAAAACTACAATGAGTTGTCATCTCACCCCAGTTAAAATGGTTTTTATCCAAAAGACAGGCAATAACAAATGCTGGCAGGGATATGGAAAAGAGGGAAACTTGTACACTGTTGGTGGGAATGTAAATTAGTACAGCCACTAGGGAGAACGGTTTGGAGGTTCCTCAAAAAACTAAAAATAGAAGTACCATATGATCCAGCAGTCCCACTGCTAAAAATATACCTCTCAAAAAGGAAATCAGTATCATGAAAGGATATCTGCACTTCCATGTCTGCTGCAGCTCTGTTCACAATAGCCAAGATTTGGAAGTAACCTAAGTGTCCATCAACAGATGAATGGATAAAGAAAATGTGGTACATCTGCACAGTGGAGTACTATTCAACCATAAAAAAGAATGAGATCCTGTCATTTGCAACAAAATGAATGGAACTGGAGGTTATTATGTTAAGTGAAATAAGCCAGGTACAGAAAGATGGTGCCAAGAACATACACTGAAGACTTTCACATGTCCTCACTTATTTGTGGGCACTAAATATTACAGCAGTTGAGCTCATGGTAATAGAGAATAGAAGGATGGTTACCAGACGCTGGGAAGGGTAGTGGGGTGGGGGTAGAGTGGGGATGGTTAATGGGTGCAAAAATATAGTTATATAGAATAAATAAAATATAATATTTGATAGCACAACCGAGTGACTGCAGTCAACAATAATTTATTATACACTTAAAGACAACTAAGAATATAATTGGATTGTTCGTAACACAAAGAGAGGAAAAATGCTTCCAGTGATGGATACCCTATTTACCCTGATGTGATCATTATGCATTGTATGCCAGCATCAAAATATCTCATAAAAATTTAGTAGGTGTGTATATTTATGGGGAACATGAAATATTTTGTACCACATGAAAATTAAAAATTAAAAAATATATCCATCAACAGATGATTAAAGAAAATACGGTATATACATACAGTGGAATATTTTTCAGATTTGAAAAGAGGGAAGTTGTCTGGGTGCATTAGCTCATGCCTGTAATCCCAGCACTGTGGGAGGCTGAGGCAGGTGGTGGATCACCTGAGGTCAGGAGTTCGAGATCAGCCTGGCCAACATGGTGAAACTCCATCTGTACTAAAAACACACAAAAAATTAGCCAGGCGTGGCGACAGACATCTGTAATCCCAGCTACTTGGAGTGTGAGGCAGGAGAATCGCTTGAATCCGGGAGGCTGAGGTTGCAATGAGCTGAGTTTATGCCACTGCACTCCAGCCTGGGCAACAGAGCGAGACTCTGCCTCAGTAAAACCAACAAACAAGCAAAAAAAATAGGGAAATTCAGACACAGGCTACAACATGGATGAACACTGAGGACATTATGCTCAGTGAAATAAGCCAGTTGCAGAAGGACACGTGCTGCATCCAAGGTACCTAACGTGTCAAATTCACAGCCAGAAAGTAGAATGTGGTTGCCAGGGCCTGCGGGGAGAGGGAATGGGGAGTTGTTGTTTAATGGGTATAGAGTTTCAGTTTTGCTAGATGAAAAGTTCTAAAGATCTATTACACGACAGGGTGCAAACAGTTAACTTGTAAATGGTTCAGATGGTAAATTTTATACTATATGTTTTTTTTACCACAATTAAAACTAACTGTCTCATCAAGGAGCAAACGACCTGGGGTCTTCACACAACTCCCATCCCTCGCCTGCCGGCTGAGAATCCCTCTTGAGGCGTTAACGCCCCACACTCCGAGGGCCATAGAGCATGCCCTGCAGAGAGATGCAGGGAGCCACAGGCACACGCGGAATGGCCTGAGGTCACCACCCAGTGGCAGGGACATTGGGGCACTGACCGCATCTGCCACATCTACCTTTGAGTCCTCTGTAAAACAGAGATGATAAATACCTACCCCGTCAGACCAGTTGCAAAGGCTACTTTGACTTAGCAGACTTAGACTCAGCACAGCGCCTGGCCCACAGTTAAATATGTGATAATCAGGCTGGGTGTGGTGGCTCCCACCTGTAATCCCAGCACTTTGGGAGGCAGAAGTGGGAGAGTTGCTTGAGTCCAGGAGTTCAAGACCAGCCTGGTCAATAGAGCAAGACTGCATCTCTATAAAACTTTTTAAAATTAGCTGGATGTTCATCTCAGATGTGAGGACTTGAAAAAGAAAATTAGTCTGATGGGCTGGCCCACGCCTATAGTCCCAGCTGCTTGGGAGGCTGAAGCGGTAAACTCCCTAGAGCCCTGGATGTTGAGGCTACAGTGAGCCACGATGGTGCCATTGCACTCCAGCCTGGGTGACAGAGTGAGATTCTGTCTCTAAATAAATAAATAAATAAATAATTTAAAACTTAATGGGACATGGTGGCACACACCTGTAGCCCCAGCTACTTGGGAAGCCAAGGTGGGAGGATCCCCTGAGCCCAGGAGTTCGAGGCTGCAGTGAGCTACGAACACGCCACTGCACTCACTCCAGCCTGGGCAACACAGCAAGGCTGCCTCTTAAAAACAATTTTAAAGGACTAAAATCGTTGTACACATCTGCCTCGTCTATTGGCAGGAGCAGCCCCAGGCCGGCAGGGGAAAAGCTCCATTTCCCTCCCTGCTCCTGCTCCCTTTAAAGATGGCTGCCTCTCATCCTCCCAGCCCACTTGGCCTTCAGGGTCACAGGCCTTAAGCCATCTGGACACCTCACACCAGACAGACCTGCCCTGGGAATTCCAGGACCCCCTGCTAGAACGTGCCAGGACCCAGACCCAGGAATGTCCACAGCCTTAGTGCTGCACAGAGACCATCCCCTGGGGCAGGTTACCCCCCTGCCAGATAAGGGCAGCTCCTTCGCTGCTCCCAGACTCTGGAGCCTGGGGGTGGGCTGCAATTCAACGCGGAGGGACACCCCTCTAACGCCGAGAGCCTGGCCCCCTTACCCTGTAGCTCTCCACCCTCAGGATGGATTCTTCCCCAGAAGCTCCCTGCCCACCCCCATCCTGGCAGGCTCCCTCCTCTGAATCAGGGCACACATGGCTGAGTCTCCAGCGCAGACACCCCATCACTGCAACACCCTTCTCCTCCCCCCGCAACCACTTAGGATTTTTAGAAATCAGTAAAATACGTGTCCAGCTCCAAACTTCTGGAAGCGCCTCAGAGTTTTGCAAAGAGCATGGCAGTGGCTTTGGGCTCTCCAATGCACCCTAGACTTGGCTCCCTACTGCCCAGCCCACAGAGTGCCCTGAGAGTGAAGGGGGAGCACAGGCAGCCCTTTCCCGCCGCCCCCACTGGCATGACATCACTGTCCCCACGCCGAGAGGCTGAACTCTTCTCACTTGGCGTCACGCTCCAAGCTCAGCTTTAAAAACTTTTCCTCGAGGCGGGGAGGGAAAATATCCAAAATATTAGCCGTGGCCACAGCTGGGTGTAGGATTTAGGGAGTTACTGTTTCCTTCTTGGTGCCGTTTGTGTTTTCTGCAGTGAGCATATTCTGTTTTTTATTGTCAGGAAAACAAATGAGTGTTTTTTAAGTAAGCGATTCACAAGCCTGTTTGGTGGCCTTCAGCATTTTTCAGGGCTTAGCTCGTTTCTGGCATCAGCTCTTCGGCCGCCCTTCTCTAGGTTCACTCACTCTCTGAGTGGAGTCCTCTGCCTTCCACCCTTCGTCCGTCCTTTGAACTGAGCGAACCACAGTTGCTTGTGCAAACCACAGCAGCCTCCTTAGATCCTCTCAATTTTCCTTCTCACTGGGAATATTTTTCATCAGAATTTATTCTCCCAAACTAAAAGATGGACCTCATGCCCCTGCTGATCTGATGTGCTGAGAACACACCATCATTTCCCCAGTATTCTTGCCAAAAATACACAACCTGAGTCTTATCATGAGGAAACATCGGGCAGACCCAAATTGTGGGGCATTCTACAAGAAAACCGCCTGGAGCCTTCAAAAATGTCAGTGTCATGAAAGACAAAGAAAGCCCAAGGAACTATTGCCGCAGTTGGGAGGAGATGAGAGATGGCAACGAACCGCAGCACGTGGTCTGGGATATTGTGTGGCTATAAGGACATTACTGGGACAGTTGGTGACATCTAAATCTGAATACAGTCTGCAGATTAGCTAATTGTATTGAATCAGGGTCCGTTTCCTGACTTAGTCATTGCGCTGCGGCTGTGTAGCAGAATGTCCTTTACTTTTAGGAATTATACACCGAAGCTTTGGGGGATAGAGGGCATCAGATCTGCAATTTACTCTCCTATGATTCAGAAAAATATATGTATTTGTACACACAGAGAGAGAAAACAATAAGGTAAATGTGGCAAGATGTTAATATTTGGGGAATTTTGGTGAAGAGTTTTTTTTTTTTAAATCCCTTTGTTCTGGTCTTAGAATTTTTCTGTACGCCCCTTCGATTCTGACCTCGGGGTTAATGCAGTTGACACAACAACGTGACTCCTAGGCTGCCTGCCGACTAATTCTTTGCTTGATGCTCTTGACCTTTGACTGTGTCCTCACCCTGATTTAGCCCCTGTAGAGACAGTGAGCAGGAAGACCAGAGTTTGGTGAATAACAAATCCGCTGTCACTGCCAGCAGGGGCAGAGGGACTTTTCTGAGCCCTCACTGTGTAAATCAACGCTCCCACACGCTGAGTGCTGCACACAGCACTTCACCCAGTCCTCACAGTAGACTTCTGAGGT